TCAAGCTTCATTTCTTCTCGCATCAGGAACATGCTTGTAACACATAGAGCCAAACATCTTCAGATGACTCACTGATGGTCGTTTGCCACTCCACACTTCTTCAGGAACCTTCTTCTTCAATTTCTTAGTAGGGGACATGTTCAAAATGTAAACTGTAGACAAAACAACTTCTCCCTATAAGGATTTTGGCAAATTCTTCTGCTTTAGCATGCATCTCGCAATATCCAATAAGTTTTTGTTTCTTCTTTCTACAATTTCATTATGTTGAGGCGTATAAGGAGCAATTACCTCATGATCGACACCATGTTCTACATAGAATTCTTCAAACATCTTGAATGTGTATTCACCACCTCCATCTATTCACAGAACTTTGATCTTCATCTCACTCTAATTTTCGACAAGTATCTTGAATCTCTTTAAAAATTCAAATACTTCGTCCTTTCTTTTGATCACATAGATCCACAACTTCCAACTAAACTCATAGACAAACAAAACAATATTTTTTCCACCAATAGCATGTTCTTCGAATGGACCACATACATCTGAATATTCAACTTCAAGTATGCATGATGATCTCATTGTCATAGTCAAAACAAAATAATTTCTGGATTGCTTTCTGACTAACAACCTTCACTGAATTTGTCGAACATCTCAAGACTTGGAATACCAATTACTGTAACGCCACCGATTTTCATACAAGACATGACTCAAAAATTACCAAGATACTTGTTTAAACATAAATAAAATGGTCTAAAATTTAATCAATTCAACTTCAATCTAAAATTCCTAAGTGGAAAAATCACCGCACTTCTATTAAATGAAATAATACTAAATAAATAATTTTAGAATGTAATGTGATCGACTTAATACTATTGAGGTGCAAATTTTTTGGTGAATAGAATATAATTTTCCCCTTCATGAGCAGAACGAATCTACGGTTTCTTATTTTCTTTTTCTGAGTTGGGTTGATTACTATCTAAACTGAAAGGTGTGGGAGTTGAGTAAATGAAGGAGGAAATATTGGAACTAAATGTGAGAATTGGCCCTTTCTCTCATAAGCCACGTACACACTTGTTGGTTTTCTTTTTCCTAAGTCACAAACATACACACACCTACGTTACTTTAATTAGTGTTATTATTAATTAATCCACTCTTAAAATAAATATTAATAATAAATTGTTTTCCCAACCAACTTAAGAAAAAAATAAAATAAACATGCTATAATTTTTAGATCTAAAAACAAACAATTAGCAAATTCTCATTTCACAACTACAAAATAAATTAATAGAATAAATTGTTTAATCATTTGATTAAAATTTAGACTAAGGACTCTTAACTAAATAATAATAAAAAATAGGGTGTTATAATAATCCGTTGATTGAATGATTGAAAGTTTAAATGTTTAAATCTCAAATGTTACAACTAACTATCCTTATGGTCGACAATAATTTTTAGATATTGTACTTCAGTCAAACTGATCATGGTCTTAATCGTCTTATTCTTCGATAGCGGAGATTTTAAAACCAAATTGTTCTAGGCGTCGAACAATTTTAAAGCTCCATCTTTCATGACAACTTAGAAACCTTTTTCGACCAGTTGTCCAACACATAACATGTTGCATTTCATTCCAGGTAGATAGAGTATATTTTTTATCACAGCTTTTCCTCCATTACTCATTTGAAAAACTATGTTGTCAGTATCTTCTGATTGCAACGAACTATTATCAGCAAGTTTTACCTTGTTATTCTTCAAATCATCGAAATCTGTCAACCACACCTTTTGACCATTCATGTGATTCGAACAGTATGAGTCGAGGATCCAGATCTTAGATTCAATATGGTTATCTGCAACTGCAACCATAACCACCATACTTTCAGAATCAATTGAATCTTGGCGTGCAAGGTTCGCTCCTTCGTCCTTGCCTTTTGTCGATCCCTTGTCTTTTGTCGATCCCTTGTCTTTAATGTACCAGTAATTCTTAGCCAAGTGACCCCACTTTTCACAGTTGTAGCAATGCATAACTTTTTTTTTTATCTTCTTTGTCCTTTTGATAGTTTCCTCATCCTCTTTTCGAGGATTCGAAAGCCCTATCACCTGATACTTATGAGGATTTGACCAAGACTTCTTGTCCCGAGTCTTGTCGACTTTGCCTTTGAATTTGTTGGAACTACCATTCCTTTTCCATGACTGAGTCTGCAAAGCTTGCATCGAATCTTGAACTTTTTTCCTTTCAATCCTAATCTCATGCATTTCCAACGAACCAACCAAATCTTCCAATTTTAGGGTTTCAAGTTGATTAGATTCTGGAATAGCTACAAAAATGTGATAAAAGTGAGAGGTTAACGTACACATTACTTTCTCAACTATCACCTTATCAATTAGAATTTCACCACAACCCTTTATGAGATGGACGAGTGTTTGCACTTTTGACACATACTTTACAATCTTTCTTAATTCTCATATTTGATCCAATTCCTCCATTTCTCTTATTTTATTTAAAAGATAAAACTAAGACATTATTTTAATTAATAAAATAATTTTAAATTATTCTATCTTACTCTAATTACTTTCCACACCCTCACCACATGGTCATACACTCTACCTATCACCCACATATATTTAATTATCTCTTATAATAATTAAATAAAATACATAAAAATTATAATTAAGTCAAAATAAATTAAATAAAATAATTTACTAAATTCAGAGTTTTATACTAGATACTAATTATAGATCAAAGATGAAAATGAAAATGAAAAGATGAGAGAATCGAGTATAACTAACTTTTCTAACAAACTTTCACATAAAAATTAAAACGGTTACAAAATGAATTCCATTACAGAAATCTTTAGTTCAATATTTATACTATCAAATTTAAATGCAACCCAAATGCAAATCTAAAATGTGTTGAATTGTATCACACTTCAACAAATATAATATAAAAATTTGATTGATTGTTAAATAGTTAAATATATAAATTAATTTACCACTTTAATATCATCAAAAACCTCTATGAATGAATTTAAGAGTGTTATAGTAAAAGAAGAATTAGCTACTTAGTTTATGTATATATTATTTGGACAAATATTAAGAAGAAGAAAGATTGTGGTTCCACTTTTAGGATAATGGATAAGTCAAATTCACAAGAGTGTCCTCCACCACATAGATACAACAAAACAACACAATAAGAAAAAAAGTTTCATTTTCTTTGCAAAATCCAAGCCAACAATGGCGTCCCTTCAGAATTCACCTACACTTCATAGAACACTCTTTCACGACTCTTTCCCTCAGGTACTCTCTTTTCCTCTCTCATCCTTTAACTTGGTATACTATACTTTTGTTCATTCTCCAATGAAAGGAGTGTGTTGCAGAAACATGGTAGTGCTTTTCGTTCTTCTAGAAGAGATGGCATTTCCTTCATTGTCAAAGCTTCTCATGAACCTTCACTTTCTTCAAACGGGTTACTTTCTCAAGGTTTTTTTTTTTTTTTTTGTCTCTTGAGCTTTGAATTGATTGAAAGTTATTGTTATATTGTGTTTATATGTTTTCTTCTGATTCAAGACGTGTTTGATGTCTGATATGTGTCAATGTATACGTCATGTTGCACGCATACAAATGTGATTGCATTCAATTAAGTGCATTGACGTATGTTTATGTCTGTGTTAGTGCTTCATAGCGTCTGACGGTATTATCTCAAATTATTACTGGTGTTGATGTGTCTAGAGTAGGACTATACTACATTGTTGCTCTTTAATTCTTTAGTTTTCAACGCACCGAGTATTTTTCTGGAACTTATTGAGCCTACTTGCATATTTTGATGCCTTGACAGATGAACCGGGTAGGCGCCAAATGATGGCGATTGGAGCTACTGCTCCGTTAGTCTTTTTGTTCGACCAACGATCAATTTCTTGTAAGATTTCATTTAAGCAGTTTTTTAGCATCTGCTAACTTTTATAAATACCGGTCCCTGACACCCCAAGGATATATATACTCTTGATATGGCTCAGTTGCCGCAGAATCAGGATTTCAACCGGTTGTCGATAGGAAAGACGGATATTCGTTTGTCTACCCTTTCGGGTGGCAGGTGAGCATTGTTGCTATAAACTGTCTGCTGCATCTTGCTGAAGAGTTTCATCTGCAAATATAGCGAACTTTGATTTTAGCTCCTTTTTTCTCTTTTATCATGGGGAGTGGTCAGGAAGTAGTGATTGAAGGTCAAGATAAGGTGTTCAAAGATGTTATCGAACCGTTGGAAAACGTCAGCGTAACTACGATCCCAACTGGAAAACAAGATATTAAAGAATTCGGATCCCCTGAAGAGGTTAGGTTTATGTCAGTGTGAGTAGCATTGGTTCTAGAAAGAGGAGAAAGATCGTGTTTCATACTGTTCTTGATTTGCTCGCAGGTTGCTGCAACTCTGATCAAAAAGGTTTTGGCACCTCCAAACCAGAAAACAAAGATAATTAAAGCAACCGAGGTTTGATGTCTCGTATCAATTCTCCTTGTTTTTTTGTACTCGTAGCTCAATGTTTTAAATATCGAACCAATCAGTGAACCAGCGAGACCTTCTGGTCATAGCTCAACTTACTCTATCTTTTTATATAAACAACTTATACAAAAGCACTTATATAATAAGCACTTATAGTAGCTTGTTCCATCTGTGTAACTATCCAGCGTGATATTGATGGAAAAGTATATTATCAATTTGAGTTCACTGCTCAGGCTCCAAACTTCACTCGTCACGCTCTCAGCGCAGTCTCTATTGGCAATGGTATGGTTTTGGATTCTCATTCTGAATATTTCAGTTCATGAAGTCATTAGTGAAAGATTAACCATTGATTGCAGGTAAGTTTTACACGTTGACGACGGGAGCAAACGAGAGAAGATGGGGGAAGATGAAAGACAGGTTGCAGACTATAGTAGAATCCTTCAAACTTTTCAATGTTTGATGAAAATCAACTGTTGTAATATTAGAGATAATAAACTCTTCGTCGGCAAGAATGTTCATTTTTGAGATTTTATCTGTTTGTAATTTGTTAATAGCGCTATTCATTGATGGAGTCTTTGTGGTTAATGACTCATACTTCAGAAGGTTGAATGTAACATGTCATACCTTTCTTTCCAAGGTAAATAGAACTCTTCCCAAATATGGAAATGAATGCAAAATTACTTCATATGCTTCAATTGTGAGCCCGTCTAGGCGGCGGCGGCACTCCTCCGTCTAGCATGTCATTGTTCTCTCCTCCTTCCAACCTTGTTACTCTGTCCACCTATTGTTGTCATATGTTGTTATGTTGCTAGCTCAAATAATGTTTTGCTTGATGTTGATCATTGAGTGTAAGAGTGCAACTCCTTTGCTTGATTCGTTGCGTGATTAGTTTGTTTTGTAGATTAATCAAATAGATTTCATGTTTAACGGATATTTTTCTCCAAAAGTGCTCTAATTTAAAGGCCCCGGGAGTAATGTATGAATCATTTTGGCAATTTCTCATCCAGCCCTTATACATTCTCTCAGGTCCTGCGTAAAATTATTAAAATACTCTCTATTTTCAGAGATATATCTCTGGACGCATCAAAAATCAATTTTTTTTTACAATAGTTCGGAAAAGCATAACCGAAGTTATTTTATGAGTGTGTTCAGAGATGCATATTTGAATACACTTTTTTAATTTAAAAAATTAGTTCGGAGATGCATTTGCAAACTAGGTGAACATATTTAATTACTCGCGTCAGACCCTCACTCTTCTCCTTCATTTTCAGGAAAAAAAAACAACTTTCTGTCTACCTCATTCTACCCATTTCAAGTTCCCACTAAAGATCAAGTTTTGAAACTACATTTACTCGTTTCTTACCATTTCCAACTCCTTCTACCTATTGTATTCAATATCAGAGCACTTTAATCCATTTCTAACACATTTTTGAGTAAGTTTTTCATTTTACTTATTTTGATTTTTGATTAATGTATTAGCTCAATAATGTTAGTTTTAATGCATTAGATAACTCAAATATGTTAGTGTTCAAGTTTGGAGACTCTGCTCGTCACGAGAGGGCTCGTCAGCACAAACAGGCTAGAGTTATCCCCCCTCTGTTTCACGATAGGGAGTCGTCGGCCTCTAGGAGTCGACATTCACGGGGATCAGGATCTCAGAGTCGTGCGACCCATGATGAGGATGCCCCAGTTGCACCCCAGGTCTCAGTTGTTGAGGATTCTCCCCTTGCAGACTCGTTTTTAGGAGAACCCACAAACACGTCTTTACTCATATACTTTGGAGAGCATGTGACTCCGCATGTCTAAGAAGGAGATGTACATTTTTGAACTTCCTCTATTTTTTACTTAATATCCAAATTCTACTCAACTAATCATGTTATATTTTATTTTCAACAAGAACGTGACTGTCTGAAATGTGTGAATCATGCAAGAAAGATTCATAGTCTTTATCAGCCCGAGAATCCTGGTTCCAAAATGTACTCCAAAACTCCGGGCTTGCAGGTCTTTGTGCTTCCGGATACACCAACATCATCCATGGTATGCATACTGCATTTGCTGAGAAATGATAGAGTGAGACGTCATCTTTCCACCTCCCCATTGGTGACATGACTATTATACTAGATGATGTAATATGTCTCATACACCTTTCCATCAGAGGAAGGTTGCTTAATCATTCTAAGATCAGCACGACTGATGCCATTGATATGACGGTGACTTGTTTGGGAGCTGAATATGATGAAGCTTTTGAGCAGTGTAGAAGCACTAGAGACGCACATGCCAAGTTTGCTTGGTTGGCATAATTGTATGAAAAAACTTTGACACATCCGAACATCCGGATGCCGATGATTTATGATTATCTATCATAGGGAGTGTGCCATGAGTTGTTTATTCATATTCTTGGTTGGCACGTTTAGGAGTGTAATCAGATCGATTTGGACCGGTTTTTGGTCAAAAAAAGTATGAACCGATGATACTTCTATCAGTTTGGTTTGGTTTGGTTTGATTTTTAATATTTTTAAAAAATGGAACTAGACCAAACTAATCGGTTTGATTTGGTTGATCAGTTTATAATATTTATTTTCAAACATTATATTCAATAGTGTATTTTCATATTTTTGGAGTATTTTATGCTATGATTTTTTAAAATAATACATTTCATGTCATTTATTTCATGCTCTATTTTTTCGAACAAATTATAAATTGCTCTTAATCCATACGAAATAATGACATGATTTCTATTGTGTCATGAAATAAGTTCACTATCAAATATAAAAGTTAACACTTGACATCAGAATGTTGGAAATAAATTTGAAAGTTTAACAAATAGAACACAACAAAGTACATATCAATTAACATGTTTCACACCTCAAGCACACATCAAAACTAGTTTGTAACAAGACTAGAAGGAATAGAAGAAGAAATAAAGAAGGTAAAAAAGTATGAAAATTAACGAAGAGAACTTGAACACGAAGAATGAGACTATAACATATCAGAATAGCGATAGTGAGAGCAACAATGATGGTGGACAGCGAGAGCAGCAGTTCAGTGAAAGCAAGTATTTTGTGACTTATGGTTTCTACTTTCTATGTTTTAGAGTTTGATTCTAGATGTGTGTTTTGCTAAAAAGAAGAAAGTGTAAATAAAGATGAAGAATGGTTGGACTGATAAAAAATTTAGATTTAACGATGGGTAGAATAAAAAATTTAGAGCATAATTATTTACATTGGTTCAGTTGATTGATTTGGTGGTTTCTGTCGCAGTGGAAAATCAAGGAAACCAAGCTATTGAGTAAACTTGACTCACAATGACTTTAAGAAGTCATCACCGAACTTTATTGTTTCTAAGGAAAAAGATCAAAACCCTATTGATTAACATGCAATGCAAGAAGTAAAGACTAAAAGCAAAGCAAGAGGAAGAGATCCAAGATACGGGGTTGGTTATATAAAGGGAAGGTATTAGCATCCTATATATCTATAGTACTCTATAGGAACCACTTATAATATCTGTTTTTTGGTTAAAAATTTTTTGTTTTCTAAATGAGTGTGGAGATGCGAAAATAAATATATTTTAGGATATTTTTGTTTGGAAAGACATAGTCTTATACCTACGTACCAATTAAGGATCAAAACCTCGTAGTTCGTGGTAAAAATAACAGAATGGTTTATTATAGTTGTTTGTAGGAGAAGATATATTGCATCATCTTTTAGAGAGAAAGCTCAACTAATACCACCACAAGTATGAGAAGATGGATATTATATCATCATGAAGGAAGGGCTACTAACTTGGATATAAGGATCAACAAGTTGTCAACTAACGTCTTCATATGGAAAGAATCACATTTACTTCAACAATTATTATGGGGATATGAGAATCATATCTCAACTATGAATAGGATTTATATCTAATCTCTTTGAGAAAAAAGTTTTAAATTAAAAAGTCAAGTGGAAAAAAAAGATTTGGGTGAGGTTAAGTCACCTTTAGTCTTTTGAAAGAGTTTTAATATTCTTAAGTATATTGAAGCATTTGATTAAAAAAAGAGTTTAAAAATGCAATGACAAAAAGTCAAGATTTTTATATGTAAGTGGTGAAAGTTTAAAAATGATTTTTTAGGGTTAAATGGTTCCTTTAGAGCATGTGAGAATGCATAAGATGATTATTCACAAGAATTTTATACAAAGGGAAATGCACATGCTTATGACCATAAAGTCAATAATACTATCCTTTTTCACGGACTTTTGGGGCACAAGTATTACAAAATATTAAATTACTAACATGGTAGCAAACATACATATCACAAGTATTTAAACACAAGGGGGAAGACTAACAAGTTTATCAAAGTAAAAGTCGTGACAAAAGAAGTCTTGGATTATAGATTAGGGTTTTTAATAAGTTTGTGATTAAACATCAAAAAGTCAAGTCTTAAACCTAATAACAATCAAATTCTTCATGGTATAAATATTCACAGGGGTCATATTATCAAACAATATTTATTAAAGACAAAGCATGATTATTTATCATGGGTTTATTCAAGAGATTTAACAAAAGAAAGTCAAAGAAAAGGTTTTAATATAAGTAAAAAGGACTTTTTTTGAATTAAATGAAAAAAAGGTTAAATAAATAATATTTTTGGTATTTTTCATATATTCATAAAATGTGATAGATAAATAAGGAGTGTACAAAAAATCAACTAAAAATAAATTGTTTTGATTGGTTAAAAATATTGAAGTTTGATAATAAAAAAAAGAAACAAGCATTAAAAAAATATTTTGAAGCCAAAGAGGCTTGAACTCAGGACCTTAAAAAAGGTTAACCACTGGGCCACACACTCAGTAGTGATAGACAACGGTTCCATAAAAATATATTTGAAATCTACTTCAGAAAATCACAAAATAGAAGAAAATGCAAGGGGGGGGGGGGGGGGGGGGGAGGGGGGGGGGGGGGGAGGGTCCCTTTGATTCGAACCTGCGTCCTTAGTGTCCAAAGCCCTAGCACGCGCGTGTCTTGCCACTAGGCTGGTTATTTAATTCCATTATAAACATGTTCTATTAAATATAAAATAAACTCATTTCAAAATTTTGATTTTTCTCTTCTTCCCTGCGCAGACACGTTATTAAAGTAACTATAACCAAAATGTCAAAAAATCACAACTCTCTCATTTCTCAACCAAATTCAAAAATATAAACATCAAACTTGCTTAGAATTTCACAAGGATTTCAAAAATATAATTTGTTTAAGCTAAGACTCAAAGATGAACACAAATTTTTACTGGTATCAAAAACGAACCCTAACGGTTCAGAGATAAATTTTTCCTCACACAAGCAATATAAATGAAAAGTAAGCATGTGGTTAGCTTCAGGGTAATGATATCTATATTTTATCTTTTGAAATCAAAATCAAATGATGCATGGATAAGGATATCACAGTTTGAGTTTTTTACCTCTTTGGAGAAAAGTCTGAAGTTTCTTCTAGCAGCTCTAAGTGCAATATGATGATTGATTAAGCTTCTTTGGACTCCGAGGAATCTATCCCAATTCTTACTTTGCTTTGAAAGTTATTGAATCACTCCAGCCAAGTTAACTTGTAATGGTGAAAAGTGAAAATGGTGTATAATGATGGAGTGATTACATTAGTTGTTCTTGGGTTTAGAGAACTTTTATATGATGTATATGAGGTATTAGGATGGTTAGTTTTCACAAAACATGCAAGGGTGATGAGATTCAAAGTTAAAGTTTTCAA